CCGTCACAGCCCCCGCGCTGCCGGCTTGGCCTGGGCAGGGTCAACCGACGTGGAGCTAGGCAGGAAGGTTTGCACAAACCTTCTCCTTTGGGTGCCGGGAGTTTGTTTTTTCCCTCTGAAGTGTTGTTACAGGTTATGAGGCAGCTCGTGCTCAAAGCTTGGACTTTTTCCTCCCTTAAAACGGTATAAAACTAAGGGAGAACTGAAGCTGCCTGCCCTCAGCTCTACCGAGCACTAAATCCTTTCGAAGTTGCTTTTGTTTTTTCCCAAGTTTCCAGCCTAAAATACTCAGTTTTACAAACTTACGTGTATTTTCCAGGTGTTAATCTTGTATATAACGGTTTCTGGACTGTAACAATGATCAATCCAAAGAGCAGCTTTCATAGAGGTGTTTCCCAGGTTTTGCACGGTGCAGGATTTATTACTTTCAGCTGTTCCTTAGGTCTTTGTGAATCCAGGCTTTTATTTGGAGCAGTCACCTTGTATTTAGTTTTTAAAGACAAGTGTTTGATGAGTTGTGAGACTAGCTGAAGTGCAAGCGGCTGTTTTGAAAAAATACTGTTTTTCAGAGGGTTTTGTCTATGTTTGCTTTCATTCTCAGAAGATAATTCTTTCCAGCATTCAGAAGTGTATTTTAGAGGGGCAGTTGTAGGGGTGTTACTGCAATCTTTGAAAAGAGCTGATGCAAGTAGCACTTGTTTTAGTATCAAGTTACAAATTTGTTGTGAAACATGGGTATTTTGGAAGTTTGTGTAAAGTCCAAGTGAACTTTGCTGGCTCTGAGGTTCACTCAGTGCAAGTGTGAAGTGTGAGCGTGTGGGGGAGCTGTAAGTGCTTCTCGTTTTTCTCGTTGTTTTTAAGCATACTTCTGAAAGAAGTGGCTGTTCCAGATCGCTTTCCCCAGATTGCTTGTCGTACTCTTTTTCTCTTTTCCTGGCATACATCTTTGTCTCTGAGCTCCATGAGGTTGGACAATTGATCTTGCAAAAAAACACGAAGATGTGTGGGAATTAGTGGTGTGTTTTTTTTCCTTTTTGTCTGGATCAGCTCTCTGGTCTGATGTTCTGTTCTGTGCCAGCCCAGAGCTGCAACTGCTGTGGTGTTTTTGTGGTGCTGGTTTTGCTGAGTGCAGCATGTTTTCATGCTGGCTTAAGGTGTTTATGAAACTTCAGGTTTCTGCTGTAGTCCTTGTAAGCCGGTCTAACTAACTATTGGCTGCAGCAAAAAGGGACTCTGCTTCCTCATTTCTTTGGGAAAAGTGTTGTCTCAGGTTCTGCTGCTGCTCTGATTAGCTCACTGGTTGGACTGAAAGATGATTTTGTGTCAGGCAAAAGGGAAGTGGAAGAGGGCTTCACAGCTGTTTTCTAGGCCTGGCTGCACAGCATGGGAGTGCTGACCCCTGGCAGCAGTGACCTGGTGTTAAACTGGCCCAAGGTGGCTGTGAAGCTGCACCCCAAGGTAGCAGCCGGCTCTGCTGTCCTGGCTGTGAACAACCTGGTGGGCATTTCTGTTGCTGCAGTTGCATTTATACAATGGAGTCCAACCATCTTTGATGGTGTCTGGACGGAATGGACGACAGACCAGATGTGTCTGCACCAGTCAAGATGTATTGCATATAACGTTGGGGTCTTAACTATTTGGATGAGAGGCACAAGTACAGCAAAAGTGCAGGGAAATTGAGAGATAAGAATGGGAGTGCAGTTTGAATGCAAAGGGTATATTAGCAGTGAATTTTGCCATTAAAATGCTGGCAACTTGTTATCAAATTCTGTACAAGGCCTAGAATATTAATTATCACCTTTAAAGGATTCGACAGTCTTAATAATGAAGATTACTTAATGTTAAGTTTGCTAATAAAGACAGTGAAAGAATTAATATTTCTCACCCTTGCCAGGCCACAGTTTGGTGTCCTTGGGTGGATCATTATTCTCCAGAATCAGTCTCTCTGGCAGGTGTCTCTGCTGGAGAGAAGGTCCAGCAGCCTCCTGGGAAGGGGCACAGGAGTGTCCCCCATCAAAGATGGGACCAGGCTTTTATAGAATGAAGTGGATTGACTGCTGTCATTTAACCATTAGCCATACCTCCAACATCTGTAATTGGAGAATAAAAAGAAAACAGTAGAAAAATTCATGAAAGCCCAGTTCCCACCAAGCAAACTCTTCTGTTTGTCTGTCCCTACTTTATCTCTCTTTCGAGCCTGGTTGTGCCTGGGCTGAGCTCTGTGTTCTTCAACATCAGAGAGCAGCTGGTGTTATGAACATGCACTTAGCCTCTGTTTGTACCTTTCAAGGTTGTTAGAGCTCAGAGTTTGCTGGGCCTTTTCCTTTATCATGGGAATCTTTCACTTAAGGCCTGGGCCTGCAAAACTGAGTCAAAAAGCAGTTGAATCATAGAGGGAAACTGAGGCAGGCATATTGAGAGATGGAGCATCCTGCTGCAGGTGGAGGCCAACGGGGATCTGTCTGCCTGGATTTGTTTCTTGCTCCAGCAGTGTCCAGTGTGTCTAGATCACCTTCACAGGCTGGGCCAGATTTATGCAGTCGATTTAACAGATTTAAATAGGTCACAAAAAACTTCAGTAATTGCAGCAGCCTCTTAACCTTGCTTAGCTGGGTGTGGGTGCCATACCTGACTACAGTTCAATGTCTGCTATTTCCAGGGAAAATGCCTCAGCTGTGTACAGAGGTTGAAGGGAATTCACAGAGAGATGCACATCTGGCTGAAACCCAGCCTGCAGTGCAGGAGTCTTCAGGGAGAAGCTCTTCACAGCTGGCTGGTAGAAACCTTCCTGTGATGAAGCCAGTGAAGAACACTAGAGCTGGTGAGTGGCCCCAACAGACTAGTAAGGAAAAGGTCAGTCTATGCTGCTGAGACCATTTTGTAAAATGAGTCCAGAAGAGGTAGCAAATACATAACCTTTATTTGCTTGACTAATGTGACTCACTCAGGTTTTGCAGAATTCCAATCCATTATTCAAAAGACTGTTTCTAGTTCTAATTGCCATTTCCATTTAGGTGATCTCCTTATCAGCTGTTGGAAAGCTGCTGCCACTTCAGTATCTGCAGAATTCTTTCTAATTCTGTCAGCATGTGCTGGATGGGAAGGATCTGAATTTTTACATCCCATTTTCATTAATTTTTCAGAGGAGCAAGATGGAGAAGACATTGAGAGAAGGAAGAGGAGGAGGAAGGCAACCAAACGGAAAAGAGAAGGGAAAAGTCAAGAAGAGGAAGGGTCTTTGTCTTGTGGCATCAAGCTGGATGATACCCTTGATCGCACCTTAGAAGATGGAGCCAAACAACACAACCTGACGGTTGTCAATGTGCGGAACATCCTGCACGTGAGTGTAGTGGGACTGGGACAGGGAACAGAGAAGACTCCAGCTTTTAGAGAGAGTGCAATCTGGGCTTGAGTGTAGAACTGATGGGAGAATTTGATTTCATAAACAAGGAAGACTTGGTGGCCATCCATCTCCTAATCACTCCTGTAAAAAGCTGAAGAGAGAATCACGTGGTGTGTGTATAAGTTAACCTGGACCATCTATTTTAAATGGCAAATGGATTTGTTTTACTGTGCCATAATAGCAGTAGCAATTGAGCTAAAGTGCATGCTTCTGGTTCCAGGTGAGGAGGTGTGAACTCAGTTTCTTGCTTTGAGTGAACTGTTTCATGACAAAGTCCTGATGGAACTCCAGTGATGCTGACAGGAATGCATTAATGACCCCAACCAGTTTTAGTCCATCACACAGATTCCAGTTAGGAAGAACTGCAATATCTGTGCTGTCACAGCTGTGTAGTGAAACTTCTAATTCCACACCTACATTAGGTTTAGGTTTTGGTCTATCCTATGAACAGGGTCTGGAAAGCAACAGTATTTATTTTCCCACAGGATCAAAAATAGTGCTTTTTGATTTCCCCCCCCCTGCAGCTGGTGGTGTTCTAATCCAGGTGATCTCAGGTGTTTTCCCTTCTTGCTATCCCTGTGGCAAACAGCCACAAATCTTTCAGGCAGACTCCCCAGCTGATTTTGTGCAGGTGCCATAAATTGAAACCTTTTTCTGTCCTGTGGGACTGGAAGGGCTTAAATACTTACCAGTCACCCACCTTCCCCAGAGCATTGTTCGCCTTCAGAAAATGCGGTCACAGATACTGTGTCTCTTCTGGCTTCTCTATTTCTTTTAAATACATGCAGTGTTTTATGAAATAGTATAGCACCATGTTTCTAAGTGTAGATTATTATATACTTTCTCTAGAGACCTAAACCTGTAGTATTTTGGAAGCCTTTGAGTACTTCAGGATATAAGTTTTCTCTTGCAGCTTCATAGCAGCGTTTCTCATGTCACCAGGATTGACATGTTTGTCTGATGATGTGACAGGAGGGAAGGGAAACTGGTGTGGGCTTTTCTTTCAACTATTTTCTTTCCTTCTGCTGGAAATCTATTCCATGGAACATTCACAGATAATGTAATGAAAATGTTATAGCTGCTGTGCTTTCCTGTTATGTTTGATCACTGGACAGTCCTTTTGTTACAATGTAATTACAAAGTGTATTTGTACACTCAGTATTTCTCCATCATGTTTCCAACTAGTTTATTTTAACCTAAAGTCTGTTTCTTTTTAACAAACAAATAAATTATACTTTTTTTGTGCTCCTCTAGGAAGTCATCACAAATGAGCATGTGGTTGCCATGATGAAAGCAGCCATCAGTGAGACAGAAGATATACCTTTGTTTGTAAGTAAAAAGCTTCTTCAGTTTGGTTTTATTTTTTCAGTTGTTCCAAATACACCTTCCCCAGTCTTGTCTTCTTGGTCCATGGTGTACTACAGAGAACAGGTAGTACCATCATTTATATTTTGTTACCAGATTTGGTACCAACCTGAATGAAGTGAGTAGTGTGTAAGTGTAAATAATGAAACAGGATTTTGAGGTTATTTTTGATGTCTAAATGGTAATGTATTTAAAAAAACGGTCTTGGGGTAAAGGGTTACTGGGGAAAAGTTTGCAATTAAGGAGAATAGCTGAATAGATTGTTGTTTGCTTTTTTTAAACTCTCAGGAGCCCAAAATGACTCGTTCCAAACTGAAGGAAGTTGTGGAGAAAGGTGTGGTAAGTACATCACCTGCTCTTGCTATTGCACCCTCCCCCTACTCCAGTAGGTTTGATTGTTAGATCTTCAAGAAGTGCAAGGTGTGCTTTTGTGTGGTTTATTATTAAGAAGAAAAAATAGCCTAAAACAATGTAAGAAAGAATTCATTTTAGCTGAGCAGAATAGAACCAGGTCAGAGTTAAAAATGCAGTGAATTGATAGTATCCATCATACTAAAGTTACTGCCTGTAGAGATCCCCTGGGCAATCCAGAAAGGTTTTGTTTGAAGCCTGTTTGTTGTTCCTACTTTGGAGAGAAAAGGCCACAAGCTCAAAAACTCATTTGTTTTAATAGGTTGTCAAAGCTTTGCTTTTCAGAGATAGTCAAAAGTGTTTTTGCTGTCTTTAGGTGATTCCAACATGGAATATTTCTCCAATTAAGAAGGCAAATGAGGTGAAAGTAAGTGAACTACTGGGAAATGGGAATCTGCATTGGAGGTACCAGTAAGTAGGATCGAGCAGGGTGGCAGGAGTGAAAGACCTTCAAGTACTAGAAACTTGCCCTTGAGTCGGTGTCTGTTCATGCAGTGTCCGTCCTATAAATGCTGAATCATTTGTGCCTGTTCTTGGTACCTTTTCAAACCACTTACTTTGCTTTACTCATCTTAGTCAATTCTTTGTTTTCTTCAGCCTTTTCTCCTTCCTTTCTGAGCTTCAGGGTATTTCCTCAGTTAGAAATCTTGGGTTGGATCATGTGCCTTTAGGGTGCAACTCCATTTTTCATGTAAAAAGTTGATGCCTTTCTTCTGTTGCAGCCACCTCAGTTTGTGGACATTCCTCTTGAGGAAGATGATTCATCTGATGAGGAGTACCAGCCTGAGGATGAGGATGAGGATGAGACTGCAGAAGAGGTAAATGCAATTTGTACAAGGATCTGTTCTTCTTAGCAAGGAGTTCTCTGCATGTTTAAGGCTGTAGAATGTTCTCTTGATTTAAAAACATTAGAACTGGTACGTTGCCCCAGACCTTCTGGTAATCTTTCTTCAATGCTGAAGAAAAGGAGACTTTAGAATATTGTTTGAAGAAATTTTTATTTGGCGCATGATTGGTTGCATTTTCTCTCTAGAGCCTGCTGGAAAGTGATGTAGAGAGCACTGCTTCCTCTCCTCGGGGAGCCAAGCGATCGAGGACGAGAAGATCATCTGATGAAGAGGGAGGGACACTCTGCGAGGTAAACTTATAGAATCTGCTGAGTTGAAAGGGACCCATCCAGGATCATGGAGTTCAACTCCTGTCCCTGTGTAGGGCACCCCAAGAATCACCCCATGTGCCTGAGAGCACAAATGCTTCTTGAACTCAGGCAGGCTTGGTGCTGTGGCCACTTCCCTGGGGAGCTTGTGCCAGTGCTCAGTCACCCTCTGGGTGAAAAACCTTTTCCTGATATCCAACCTAAACCTCCCCTGATTCAGCTTCCTGCCGTTTACCCTAGTCTTGTCACTGGTCGCGGGAGTGAAGAGATCCGGACCTGCCCCATCTTTTCCCCTTGTGAGGAAGCTGGTTTTATTTTCTTTAGAAACAACTTGCAGTATTTATTCCTAAATGATTGATGCCAAACCAGAAAGACACATGATTTCTTAAAGTTGGGGTGGCATTACAGGGGCTATGTGGCTTCAGGGTCCCACTGCAATGGCTCCTGCATGAGCAGTGAAGTGCAACCCTCACAGAAAGAGCTTAGTCTAAAATAAATAGGAGTACTTAAAGCACTGGCAATGGAAAACATTGGCTCTTCAGAGAATGATTATTTCACTGATTATTTTTGAGAGGATTGCAGAAGAATTTCTGTGCTTGGCTGAGGAGGGGAAGGTTATTTTGATAAAAGCATAAATAAATTTGTGGTGATTCTGCACTGTCCAGTCAGTGGGAGGACTGTGTGCAGTGTGCTCAGAGCTGAGTGTCAGCAGACAGTAGTGACAGGGTGACAGTGGGAGCTGACCACTGACACTGGAATTAGAGCAATAATGTTTAAAAAAATATATTTTCACTTTCTAATCCCCATGAGTTTGGTTTTGAGAGGATTGGCAGCCTGACACAGTTACTAGTGCTCAGCTTTCTCAACTCTACTGATGTTGAAACCAATACTCCCATCTCCCAAAGGTTTCCTTTCCTGCAAGTCTTTTGAGTAGTAAATTTGCTTTTATTTTCTGCAAATCATATGGACTGTATATATGAAAAACCCATTTCCTTCCAGGAAGCATTTATTTTGTGGTGGGCTCTGGTCAAACAGAAAAAAAACCCAACTTACTCTGTTCTCAGAAATTTATGTTCTAAATAAAACCTTTTAACAAAGGCCTTTTTAATTAGATGGAGGGGGCTGCTACACATGTTGGCAGACATATTAGTGCTGAAGTAGTTCCAATGGGACCTCCACCACCTCCTAAACCAAAGCAAACCAGAGACAGCACCTTCATGGAGAAGCTGCATGCAGTGGATGAAGAGTTGGCGTCAAGCCCAGTGTGCATGGACTCTTACCAGGTACTGGTTTTGGGGGTGCTGTAACAGTGTGGGTTTAGTTGAGGGAAATTGTTAGAAAGCTTTCTGGTGTGCTCTCCTCTTGATTCTCCTGCATTCTTCTCTCCTTTTGTAACTTGAAAGAAGTTGAATCTCTGTAGTGTGCAGAACACAAGCTTTGTGAGAGCAGAGTCAGCTTTTAGTCAAGTGTTCTTAGTGACACACACGGTTTCTTGAATCTTAGGGGTTGGAAGGGACTTCTGGAGATCGTCAAGTCCAACCCTCTCTGCTGCAGTGGGAAGACCTAGGGCAGGTCACACAGGAATGTGTCCAGACAGGTCTTGAAAGTCCCCAGAGAAGGAGAGTAGTTCTATTACATTTACATAACTAAAGAAAAGAGTATTCCTTGTGAAAGATGCTGATCAGCTTAGTTGTGTTTTGCAGGAAGGTGCACTGTTAGCACCTGAGGAAGCTTGATTGTAAGAGTACTATTGTTTTATCATCATCATAATAATGAGATCACTAGGCTGTGTTACTGTGCAGGGGTAAGTGAGGAGTAGTGAAGAAACAGTCCTGTACTGCTGCTCAGGATTTATTTCTGATAATTTCAGGGAGAGCAAACAGAGTAAAACATATGTGAAGGTATCAAATACTGCAAGTGGAGATTGATTGCTTGACAGTTGACAAGAGTTTAGCATGAGATCATGGAATTGTCAAGGTTGGAAAAGATAAATGAACAATAATCTATTTGTAGTCAATAACAGTTTAATAGCAAGAGTAATTAAAGTTTAGTTTTCTCAGACTACTGAAGTAAATTCTTGATGGTAGGAATCTTAATATTTTTGCTACTGGGGCTGAAAACCCCACTGCTGGAGAAACTGAGAAGAGTAGAGACACTGAATCCCTTCGTGCTTTCCCTTCACCTTTCAGGGTCTGGAGGACAGTCTGATTGCCTTCCGCACGCGCTCCAAGCGGCCACTGAAGGACGTTCCCCTGGGGCAGCTGGAGGCTGAGCTCCGCGCCCCCGACATCACACCCGACATGTACGACCCCAACACCGCAGATGATGAGGAGTGGAAGAGGTGGCTTGGAGGGCTCATGAATGATGATGTGGAGAATGAAGGTGTGTGACAGTCCTGGTGGTTGCTGGGGTTGGTGTTACATTGAAAGCGTGGATCTTGGACTTGGTGATCTAGGCTGAGCCACCATCCCTGCAGACATCTAAAAAGACAGATGTGCGGGGGGACGGGGTTTAGTGGTGGATGTGGCACAATTGGTGTAGTGGTTGGACTCCATGATCTTGAAGGTCTTTTCCAGCCAGGCTGATACTGTGATCTTTTTTCTCTTACTTGTACATGACATTCTTGGCTGCAACCATTATCTTCTTTAGTAATAGGCATGTTTAGCATGTCATCAGCTTTCCTCATCACGTGCGAAGTTTTTTATTCTTCAAATGTCTCACTTTGAAAGAAGCATGAGCCAGCACCTGCAGCAACTGGCAGCCATAAATGAAGGTTGTGTGT